ACACTTAATGAATGTCACATTTTGTACAGCCTCTTGAAGACCTCGTAGATGGGATCTGTCCCTCCTCTTCTCTTTATTTCTGAAAAATATGGAAGAAATACGGAATGAACTCAGGAAACCTGCGATCTGCGAACTCCGGGGCTCACCGAGAGACTGACTGTGAGGACACCTCTGATCTGCGAACTCCGGGGCAGACCAAGAGACTGACTGTGAGGACGCCTCCGATCTGCGAACTCCGGGGCTCACCAAGAGACTGACTGTGAGGATGCCTGCGATCTGCGAACTCCGAGGACGCCTCCAATCTGCGAACTCCGGGGCTCACCAAGAGACTGACTGTGAGGACGCCTGCGATCTGCGAACTCCGGGGGCTCACCGAGAGACTGACTGTGAGGACGCCTGCGATCTGCGAACTCCGAGGACACCTCCGATCTGCGAACTCCGGGGGAGGGGACCAAGAGACTGACTGTGAGGACGCCTGCGATCTGCGAACTCCAAGGACGCCTGCGATCTGCGAACTCCGGGGCTCACCAAGAGACTGACTGTGAGGATGCCTGCGATCTGCGAACTCCAGGGCTCACCAAGAGACTGACTGTGAGGACGCCTGCGATCTGCGAACTCCGAGGACGCCTCCAATCTGCGAACTCCGGGGCTCACCAAGAGACTGACTGCGAGGACGCCTGCGATCTGCGAACTCCAGGGCTCACCGAGAGACTGACTGTGAGGACTGTGGGGACCTGCGATCTGCGAACTCCGGGGCTCACCAAGAGACTGACTGCGGGGACGCCTGCGATCTGCGAACTCCGGGGCTCACCAAGAGACTGACTGCGAGGACGCCTGCGATCTGCGAACTCCGGGCTCACCGAGAGACTGACTGTGAGGACACCTCCGATCTGCGAACTCCGAGGACGCCTGCGATCTGCGAACTTACCGGGGCTCACCGAGAGACTGACTGTGTGAGGACGCCTCCGATCTGCGAACTTCGGGGCTCACTGAGAGACTGACTGTGAGGACGCCTGCGATCTGCGAACTCCGTGGCTCACCGAGAGACTGACTTTGAGGACGCCTCCGATCTGCGAACTTCGGGGCTCACCAAGAGACTGACTGTGAGGACGCCTGCGATCTGCGAACTTCGGGGCTCACCAAGAGACTGACTGTGAGGACGCCTGCGATCTGCGAACTCCGGGGCTCACCAAGAGACTGACTGTGAGGACGCCTGCGATCTGCGAACTCCGGGGCTCACCAAGAGACTGACTGTGAGGACGCCTCCGATCTGCGAACTCCGGGGCTCACCAGAGACTGACTGTGAGGACGCCTGCGATCTGCGAACTCCAGGGCTCACCAAGAGACTGACTGTGAGGACGCCTGCGATCTGCGAACTTCGGGGCTCACCGAGAGACTGACTCCGAGGACGCCTCCGATCTGCGAACTTCGGGGCTCACCGAGAGACTGACTGTGAAGGACGCCTGCGATCTGCGAACTCCGTGGCTCACCGAGGGACTGACTTTGAGGACGCCTGCGATCTGCGAACTCCGGGGGCTCACCAAGAGACTGACTGTGAGGACGCCTGCGATCTGCGAACTCCGGGGCTCACCCCCCCCCCCACAAGAGACTGACTGTGAGGACGCCTGCGATCTGCGAACTTCAGGGCTCACCAAGAGACTGACTGTGAGGACGCCTCCGCCAACATGGGAAGTGAAGTCTTGAAATGCGTAGAGGGAATACAGCCCGTCTTCCCGGGAATTCTGGAGTCCCTCCCTGCCTGGCTGTAGTACACCGGGCCCCCCCCACATGGAAGAAAAATATATTTTAATTAAATTTTAAAAATATTCTTCCCAAATATATTGACATATATGTGAATTACTACAATTTTGGCCGTATTCAATATATTTAAAAAAAAATAAAATTATATATATATATATCTCCCTCCTAGATTGTAAGCTCCCAGGATCAGCCCCTCCCTCTTAGATTGTAAGCTCCCAGGATCAGCCCCTCCCTCTTAGATTGTAAGCTCCCAGGATCAGCCCCTCCCTCTTAGATTGTAAGCTCCCAGGATCAGCCCCTCCCTCTTAGATTGTAAGCTCCCAGGATCAGCCCCTCCCTCTTAGATTGTAAGCTCCCAGGATCAGCCCCTCCTTCTTAGATTGTAAGCTCCCAGGATCAGCCCCTCCCTCTTAGATTGTAAGCTCCCAGGATCAGCCCCTCCCTCTTAGATTGTAAGCTCCCAGGATCAGCCCCTCCCTCTTAGATTGTAAGCTCCCAGGATCAGCCCCTCCCTCTTAGATTGTAAGCTCCCAGGATCAGGCCCTCCCTCTTAGATTGTAAGCTCCCAGGATCAGCCCCTCCCTCTTAGATTGTAAGCTCCCAGGATCAGGGCCCTCCTATCCCTCTTGTATTGATCTGTATTGTTGCTGTATTGTCTCCCGTTATATTGTACAGCGCTGAGCACACTGTTGGCGCCATAAATCCTGTATAATAATAATAATAATAATAATAATATATATATATATATATATATATATCTACTGTTTGTTGAAATGCGTTTTTTTATATAAATAAAATAGGAAAAATATTTCTAAAAATACATTTTCAAATATATGTCTTTGGAGATACATTTAATCTACATTTTTGGAACACATTTAGAAATATATGTTAAAATGACTTTTTTATATGTTAAAAGAAATTTTTTTTTTTTTTTTTTTTAATGGTTGAACTGGATGGACTTTTGTCTTTTTTCAGCCAGACTAACTATGTAACTATGTAACTATGTAACTATATGAAGAATATATTCATATATTTTAAAAAAATACATTTTTAAATATATGCCTTTAGAAAATATATTTAAATTTACATTTTTTAGAATACAGGTTAAAATGTATTAGCATAGGCCAATATATTGTAAGTATGTCACATATATCATTTTTTTTTTTCAAAATATATTGGAAATATATTTCTCTTCCATGTGGGCCTGATCCAGGGGCGGATTGACAACTCATGGGGCCCCCAGGCAATAGGGGATCATGGGGCCCACACTCAAACCACATCCAAAAAAGCCTACGAAAGGTACCTGGAGCATCTCATAGGGCCCCTTACTGACCCCGGGCCCTCGGGTAGTGCCCAAGAGTTTCTGAATGGTCAGTCCGCCCCTGGCCTGATCCCTAAAGTTTAAGTGTAAGTGAGTTGCAGAACAGCCTTGTATGGACCTTATTTTTCAGCTTGTGATTGGGAGAGAGCAGAGCTGTGGGAGGGACCTAGCAGGCTCCACCCATTGTAGAAAAAGCTACAGGAAGGGGGCGGAGACAAGTCTGGTCACCCTGCCCAAAAAGAGAGAGCAGAGCTGTGGGAGGGACCTAGCAGGCTCCACCCATTGTAGAAAGCTACAGGAAGGGAGAAGAGACAAGTCTGGTCACCCTACCCAAGGAGAGAGAGCAGAGCTTGTGGGAGGGATCTAACAGGCTCCACCCATTGTAGAAAACTACAGGAAAAGGGCGGAGACAAGTCCAGTCACACTGCCCAAGGAGAGAGAGAAGAACTTGTGAAAAGGGACCAAGCAGGCTCCACCCATTGTAGAAAACTACAGAAAACTACAGAAGGCGGAGGAGTCAAGTCCAGTGACCCTGCCCATGGAGAGAGAGAAGAACTTGTGGGAGAGGCCCAGCTGGCTCCGCCCACTACAGGAGGGGGTGGAGACCAGACCAGTCTCCCTGCACAAGGGGACAGAGCAGGAGTGGCGGTCTTTATTCTAGGAAGTCTCACGCTGGATTCCTGCACAGATCTGGAAGAAATACACAAAACGCGCATAGGAGTGAATTAAAAAAAATCTCCATAGCAATCTACCAATTAAAATGCAAATACCTTCTTTTCTTCAGATTGGGCACAACAACGAATGTTATCCAGTTATTTCCTATGGCGGCTGAACATTTTCTGGTGCTCTAAAATGGAAAATGCATTTGGTATTTGGCCACTAGATGGCGCAAACTATGATACTTATCGCCATCTGATGGCCAAACATGGTATTTTTCATTCTAAATCAATAGAAAAACATTCGACCAGCACAGGAAATAGCCTAATAACCTTTGGGGTTTTTTTTACCCATTAGATCAGAATGAATGTACATGCGTTTCAATGGGTGAAGTGCAATGCATTTTTTTTTTTTTTTAAGATTCAACCCACGCCTGCTATATAACGTAGCGCTGTTCGATTTTTATACGGCGACTTTGGGTGAATTTATAATGACTAACAATAAAATGTTCTGGAAGCTTACAAAGGATTAAGGAGCTCGGTAGAGGTGAAGATCTCCTTGAATACAATGGACAGCTTGGCGCGCAGAAGCCGGAACCCTCGCTATTAGCAATAATCAAAAAGTCAAATAACAATTTCATTTCCGAAAACAGCGGCGGGAAAGCGAAGCGCGAATCGCACCGCGCCGCCGCCGCCGTTCCTCTTTAATAAAGTAACAATTATTCCCTGACCCGGTAATGAGGTCGCCGAGCGCAGATGATGACGATCTTTAATCTCTAATCCTTTTGCGTTGTTTTCGGCGCCGTTCACGATGAAGTGGTTAACCGCGGATATTACTTGTTTATATTAAATGTGTTTATCACTTTCATTAATACCGTTCTTTCATCTGGCGGCGGCGCAGCGATATTTTACCTCAGCGGGGATAAGCCGGGCTGTATGTTAGTAAATTAAACGGCTGTGATAATCACAAAACAACGACGGATGGGAACAAAGCCGCGGGCGGACGTGAGCTGATTAATGCCGATTCCTAAACGAGCCGCAACTGGGGCTCTGCGTCTTCCCGGGGAAAAGTTCCGTGTTCTGCTGATGGGAGGAGTTACGGGTTTAATATCATGGCCTCTCAACTGCGAGAAACTTCTTTGAACTTAAAAACTCCCCCCCCGGCCTCTTCTTCATAGATGGAGTTCATATCTATCCTCAGATCCTTCTCAGTGCTCTCCCCATCCTGCTCACAGCACCAATTGTGAAGCCGAACCCCGCCCTCCCCTCCAGTCTTGCAGAGGTGTGCTGGCTCCTCCCCTTCAGTCTTGCACAGGTGTACCGGCTCCTCCTCTTCAGTCTTGCACAGGTGTACTGGCTCCTCCCCTCCAGGTCTTGCACAGGTGTACCGGCTCCTCCCCTTCAGTCTTGCACAGGTGTACTGGCTCCTCCCCTTCAGTCTTGTACAGGTGTACCAGCTCCTCCCCTCCAGTCTTGCACGGGTGTACCGGCTCCTTCTCTTCAGTCTTGCACAGGTGTACCGGCTCCTCCCCTTCAGTCTTGCACAGGTTTACTGGCTCCTCCCCTTCAGTCTTGTACAGGTGTACCGACTCCTCCCCTTCAGTCTTGCACAGGTGTACTGGCTCCTCCCTTTCAGTCTTGCACAGGTGTACCAGCTCCTCCCCTTCAGTCTTGCACAGGTGTACTGGCTCCTCCCCTTCAGTTTTGCAGGGTTATACCGGCTCCTCCCCTTCAGTCTTGCACAGGTGTACCGGCTCCTCCTATTCAGTCTTGCACAGGTGTACCGGCTCCTCCCCTTCAGTCTTGCACAGGTGTACCAGCTCCTCCCCTTCAGTCTTGCACAGGTGTACCAGCTCCTCCCCCTTCAGTCTTGCACAGGTGTACCGGCTCCTCCCCTTCAGTCTTGCACGGGTGTACTGGCTCCTCCCCTTCAGCCTTGCACGGGTGTACCGACTCCTCCCCTTCAGTCTTGCACAGTTGTGTACCGACTCCTCCCCTTCAGTCTTGCACGGGTGTACTGGCTCCTCCCCTTCAGTCTTGCACGGGTGTACCGACTCCTCCCCTTCAGTCTTGCACAGGTGTACCGGCTCCCCCCTTCAGTCTTGCACAGGTGTACCAGCTCCTCCCCTTCAGCCTTGCACAGGTGTACTGACTCCTCCCCTTCAGTCTTGCACAGGTGTATTGGCTCCTCCCCTTCAGTCTTGCACAGGTGTATCGGTTCCTCTCCTTGACTGAAATGGCTTATTCTGATTTCACTGCACACTGGGAGCTTCTCACAATGTGCATTAGAAGCTGCAGCAAGTCAGATAGAGCTCAGCCTCATTTCCTGGCTTGAGGACACCCAGGATCATCTAGCTTGTTCCTTCCCAGCCTGACTGTCCATAGCCCTGCTTCTTTCATTCATAGGAGCCCGCCTCATTTCCTGGCCAGGGGATGCATTGGATTTCAGTTCTTTCAGTCATGGAGGCTCAACATGGGAACTACCTCCTGTGACCTCTTGGCTCTGGTTGGGTGCACATAGTTGGTCAAGGGTGTTGGCGAGCTTCCTTGTCATAGGGGCATGTGCACACGTCAAGGAGGGTACTTCAATACCTTCCCTTAGGGCAGGTGGTGCTGTGACCTACCTTGTTGGAGATCTAGCCCAACTTTTTCTTTTCATGTTGCTGACCCAAATTGCCTGGCTTTACCCATGTCAACTGGTACTGTAGTGATTCTGCTGTTCCTGTTGTCAACTCTGCTCATTCCTCCTGACTGCCCTTGTCTGCCACCTGCCTTGATATCTGCCACCTGCCTTGACCTCCTCCAGAACCAGACCTACCTGATTGTTGCCATTCTCTACATGGTAGCCCCCCCTGTTCCAGCTAACCCCTGGTGGACTGATCCTGAAAGAAGGAAACCTGATGGCATCTTGCACCAAACTAACTGGGGTGACCATTGGGTCAATGGCCTATCATCCCTCAAGGAGTGTTTTGGTGAAGAGTGTTTCTTCGGCTCTATGACTTGACCTCCTCCTGAACCAAACAAATCTTATTGCCGCCATTTTGCCTCCTCATCCTAGGCCCCCTGTTCCTGCTAACTCCTGGTGGGACAAACATGAGTGCCAGGAACTGGTGGCATCTTGCAGCAAACAAGCCTGGTGACCATTAGGGAACACTGGTCCATCATCCTTTGAGGAGTGCTCTGGTGAAGACCAAGGTGCCACTTAGACTCTATGACCCAGGTAATGATGTGTCACCTGTCAGGGTTAAATTTTGACCAACTTTTAAAAACAATATGTTTAAGGAAGCAGCCACTAGCACTTTAGAGTTTTTCACAGTGTTTGTGAGAGGAGAGAGCAGTGGGCAAAGAGGAAAAATAAAAGAAAAAATGATAGGGGTGAACTAATATGGAGGCCAAGTAGGTGTCATTTTTCAGGCTTATACAGCACACAGAGTGGCCCTCTTCTGTCCTCAAGCCTGCTGCCTCTTGACTTTAGTTGGGTGCATGCATGAATGTGTGCATAGTTGGTCAAGGGCACGTGTTGGCATGCATCCCTCACATAAGGGCATGTGTCATGGAGGGTATTTCATCTCTTATGGTGTCCAGTGCTGTGACTTCTTCACAGTTACCTTGCTGACCCGGATTGCCTGGCTTGGTCTGTATTTCCTGTTCTAGTAGTGATTCTGCTGTTCCCATTTCTAGCCTTGCTCATTCCTGACTACTCTTGTCTATCATCTGCTTGGACTTCCACCTGGAAATGACTATCCTTGCCTTCCACCTGCCTTGACCTCCTCCAAATCCAGACCTACCTGATTGTCGCCATTCTCCACGTGGTAGCCCCATTTGTTCCTGCTAACCCCTGGTGAGATGAACATGGAAGCCAAGGTAGCCTCTTGCAGTAAACTAGCCTGGTGACCATTGGGTCACTGGTCCATCATCCCTTGGGGAGTGCTCTGGTGAAGACCAACGTCTTGTGATTAGTTGTAAATGGGTGCATAGCTGGTCAAGGGCATGTGTTGGCATGCATCCCTCACATAAGGGCATGTGTCTCAGAGGGTATTTCATCTCCTTCCCTTATGGTGGCCAGTGCTGTGACTTCTTCATAGTTACCTTGTTAGAAGGCTAGCCCAACATTTGCTTTTCCTGTTGCTGGCCTGGATTGCCAGGTTTGGTCTGTGTTTCCTGTTCTAGTAGTGACTCTGCTGTTCTTGTTACCAACCTTGCTCATTCCTGACTACTCTTTTCTGTCATATGCCTGGATTTCCACCTGGAAATGACTATTCTTGCTTGCCACTTGCCTTGAGCTCCTCCAGAACCAGAGCTACCTGATCGCCACCATTCTCCACATGGTCGCCCCTTTTGTTCCTGCTAACCCCTGATGAAACAAACATGGCAGCCAAGGTAGCCTCTTTCAGTAAACTAGCCTGGTGAACATTGGGTCACTGGTCCATCATCCCTTGGGGAGTGCTCTGGTGAAGACCAACGTCTTGTGATTAGTTGTGAATGGGTGCATAGCTGGTCAAGGGCATGTGTTGGCATGCATCCTTCATATAATGGCATGTGTCTCAGAGGGTATTTAATCTCCTTCCCTTATGGTGACCAGTGCTGTGTCTTCTTCATAGTTACCTTGTTAGAAGGCTAGCTCAACATTTGCTTTTCCTATTGCTGACCTGGATTGCCAGGTTTGGTCTGTGTTTCCTTTTTCAGTAGTGACTCTGCTGTTCCTGTTACCAACCTTGCTCATTCCTGACTACTCTTGTCTGTCACCTGCCTAGGATTCCACCTAGAAATGACTATCCTTGCTTGCCACTTGCTTTGATCTCCTCCAGAACCAGAGCTACCTGATCGCCACCATTCTCCACATGGTCGCCCCTTTTGTTCCTGCTAACCCCTGATGAAACAAACATGGCAGCCAAGGTAGCCTCTTGCAGTAAACTAGCCTGGTGACCATTGGGTCACTGGTCCATCATCCCTTGGGGAGTGCTCTGGTGAAGACCAACGTCTTGTGCATAGTTGTGAATGGGTGCATAGCTGGTCAAGGGCATGTGTTGGCATGCATCCCTCACAAAATGGCATGTGAGGAGATTGCCAGGCTTGGTCTGTGTTTTCTTTTTCAGTAGTGACTCTGCTGTTCCTATTTCCAACCTTGCTCATTCCTGACTACTCTTGTCTGTCACCTGCTTAGGCTTCCACCTAGAAATGACTATCCTTGCCTGCCACTTGCCTTGATCTCCTCCAGAACCAGGCCTACCTGATTTAGCCTCATCCTAGCCCCCCTGTCCCTCCTAACCCCTAGCAGGAAGATCCTGAGACCTGAAACCTGTAGGTATCTTGCAGCAATGCAGCCTGGTCCATCATCCCTTGGTGGTGCTCCAGTGAAGGTCAAGGTCCCAACACCCTTGGGGGAATCTCCCAACACCAGCAATTTCAACCATCGTTCATAACAAAAGCAAGGAATGGTTTGAGGAACCTGCCACTAGCACTTTCGATTATTTCTTGGTGCTCGTGATTGGAATTTCCTCCATGCATTTCATTTTTTTTCTTTTAATGACTGAAAAATTGCATGAAAATTCCTCTGCATGTGGCCAGCAAGAGGCAGAGAGAAGAAGATTGAGAGAGAGAGAGAGCGAGAGAGCGAGGAAAAAGAGAGATGACATCCCCACAGCCTCCTGTGGTTCTCTTGGAACCCGTCCAGTATCTGTAGAAACACATTTCCTACGCTGACTGTTCCTGGCAAACGAGCTCGTAATTAATTAACCTTTTTTTTTTCAGCTATTTAAAGCCCCCGAATGCTTGTCGTGTGGCAGGAAGACTCAGAAGAGACGGTATCAGCCCAGAACATCCCTGCTCCGATGACAAGTCCGGCGCGGCGACAAGTCCGGCGCGGTGACAGCCTCGTCCTCTGCAGATTCACAGAGCTGGCACGGGCCCGGGCGGCCCCACAAAAAAAAAACGTTTTCACGCTGGAATTGTCAGCATTTATGAGCTGCTATCGGCGAGGCCGCCAGGGAGGCATCAGGAGGGCCGGAATCCGCTCTGTGGGCAGGAATTGCTGAGGAGGTAGAAAAAAAAAAAAGGGAGCGGCGGGATGATTAGGTTTTTTTTTTCCAGCAGAAGTTGGAGATAAGGCGGAGGAGAGCGGATTAGCTCGGCGTGAAGGACCTTCCTAGGCTTTCATATGGATGACAAGAGGCTCTGAGAGCCGGGAATCCTCAGGCCGAGGTTCCAGGAGCCGAAGGAGGCCAGAGAGGTGACAATGAATGTGGTGCGCCGGCTAGATTCGTAGGAGAAGCTCGGCGCTTTTCCCGTAATCCCCCTCAATGTCGACTCCAAATGACTTTGCGGCCAGATTAGGTTTTTTATGTATCTTCCTTTTTCCCGTTTATCGGGAGGAGGATCTCGGAACCTTTCCTGCTTTGGCCTTAGAGAGGCTTTCTAATCTGCGGCTCCCATAATGCACCGAGGCGGTGACTGGCCAGTCTGCACACGCTCAGAGATGGACATAGATAAGCCGGGTGATAGTAATAGAAAAGTGAGTGGGGGATGGGTGGACGCACGGCGAACAGATCGGCAAAAGGGAAACCTGCCTGAGGTTAAAGTAGCAGTAAAGTGGGTCCAACCCTCAGATGGGAAATATGAACAAAGCACATCCCTCTATAGTGTGTCCTTGTCTCAGTCCAGAGCACTGAGTGTCATTTCTTCCAACCACTCCATCCCCCACAGTTTTACCCATTGTACCGTTCACCCCTCCCTCCTAGATTGTAAGCTCCCAGGATCAGGCCCTCCTTTCCCTCTTGTATTGAACTGTATTGTTGCTGTATTGTCTCCCACTTTGATGTAAAGTGCTGAGCAAACTGTTGGCACCATAAATCCTGTATAATAATAATAATAATTTCCATCTGCTACCTCCGTCCTCTGCTATCAG